CATTATCACACGTGAGTTAAAACAAATATTAAGCTCTAAACTTGGTTTTATTGCGAAAAGTCATGTTTTTAGAGAGACACGGTGTTTGATGCATTCTATTGAACGGCAGAAAAAGAGAATTGCCACATGATTTGGCTTATTGAAAAACTCACACCAGGACAAATTGGTCAGCTCATATCAGCAGAAATATTCATGACGCCATTGATCCAGAATTATTTCAGATCATCATCCAAAATATGTTTCATGGTCGGTGTGCATCACCATACATGTCTGTTTGAAAATGCACTAACGATATCCTAGAGAATTAACTGTTGAGACTATCACTGGTTTTTTCACCATTAAATAAAATTCTCTATTCAAATCATAATCACAAATCTCATTTACACACTTAAATACAAAATTTAAATTCAAACTGAAAGCGTTGCAACGCACGCAGGGTACAGCTAGTATACATATATTATCCCTTCATTACTTTTAGATGACATACCACACAACAAAATTTTATAATTGTAAGATTTCGATATGAATTTCAACATGTAACTTGAAAACAGAAAAGCTGAATTCTAGTTGAAATTATTCATTTAAAATTAAAAAATACTTACCAAAAAATCGATAAAAAAATTTAATAATCAACACAAATGATACTATTTCAAGTAATTCGTAAGATTCTTCACTGTTGTTTTTCAAATTATATAGATACAGAAATATATGCTATTCTATGAAAAAGAAGACTATTCTATAACTATTACAGTTCTGCACGTTCTCAAATCACATTTGTTCATTGGAATGAAGTAAGCTATGTTGACTTCACTTTATTTTGTAATGAATTGAAGACAAAAAAAAATGTTTTTTACCGTAATACACACATCTGTAACAGTATGTGATCACGAAATAGGAAGTTACCGGTTGCAAGTTTGTTGATAATAGAAAGATAAAAACTATTGAGAAATTATGCTTCAAAATGTAAGGCGCGTTCTGTTTCAGGAAGATTTATACAGAATTATTATGTTCTGGGTCGTTCTTTCAAGTTCTTCAACATTTTCCTTAGGGAAATCTGCTTCTTATTTGCTGCTAAAAAAATGGCGTCCTGCACCGCCAATGATTCTGATAGAACTAAAAGAAAACTTAATAAATAAAAGCCTGGAAATAACCCATCCGCTAGAGGGCATATTCAAGCGATGTGATCGCAAATTGTTGATTTTTAAGAAGTTTTTTTTTTTTCTTTTTGGAACTTGAGGTTTATATTAACCGTTACAGTTTTATTTATTATTTTTTGCAAGGTTATTATTTACCCGTTACGGAGATCTTAATTTTGTTCATTTATGTGCGGTTTTTAAAGAAATGTGTTCTTTATATTAAATGTGTTCCTAAATATAGCTTGATTCGTTGCAGCTATATTTAATTGGGTATACTATAGCCTACGTCACAGGTTGTGTTATTCCTACTAAATTTAACCCATGAACGGCATTTTCTGCGAGCCTAACTTCAAGCCACAAATAAACAAACGAAGTGTTTGATCGTTTAAATAGCTGCTCGCCAGATTTTATTGCATTATAAAGAAAAGTAATTGATATTCGATTTTTGATTAATAATTGATTTATGTGGATAGTGGCATTTATGTGGATAGTGGCATAGAAATTAGCATTGCGTCATGGTAAATGTTATTCCTACTAAGTGGAAGTAGTTGTGTTTTTTTTTATATTATACCCAATTGAGTAACAAAGTCTAAAAATATTTAAAAAATATCTGGCTAACAAAAGCATGAATAAAAGAAACGAAACATATAACGAGATAAATAAAAAATAAAAGCACGAGATTCTTATGAAACAGTTAAGAATTGTTAATTTTTGCGAAGATAGTTCATGTTTTTTGAATTTGAGGTTTTCACTAACCAGTTACGGGTATTTAAATATTTATTTGCAAATTTATTACTAACCTTTTACGGTATTAAATTTTGTTCATTTATGTGTGGTTTTTAAATAAATGCGTTTTTTTTTAGTAAAAAAAGAACTGTTTCTTAATATAGTTTTATTTGTTATAGTATCTTGTTCAGATAGCTAATTTTCCTATATAATTGCATTTCTATATGATGCAGAAGAGTGAAAAAAATGCATGTATGAAAATGGTGCGCAAAAATATGAAATAAGTAATTATCGAAAAATAATCTAATTTTTCTACTACGGAAGAAAAATCCTTTTGGTATTCCTTAACGAGATTTATGAAAGGGCTACTGTAATATTTAGGATTTACAAAGCGGAATGAAAATTAATATACTTGTCCAAATCACTGTTAAGAACAAAAGCTGACAGTATGATCTAAAGTCATAAGGCCAATGAATCATACCTTCTTGTCTCGTGCAGCAGTATTTGGCAAAAATCTGGCATTAAAAAATTATTAATTTTTTTATTATTATCCGTGATACTATTTAGAGCCTTTTTGGCCAGGTTACATATTAATGGTGTAAACTATTTAAATATTTATGTTTTCTTTACTTTTTTATATGCGTGCTGTATACTTTAACTACATTTTTTCTCAAATGCAGTCTTCATATTGCATGTTTTTTCCTCTGTCTACCACTTGGGTATCTTATCCTTTTCCACTTAAGTTCAACTCATTGCGTCTTTGTTTTACCAGCAATAAGAAATAAAATAAATATTTTAGGTAAAAATTGCAGAACTACGTTTAAAATGTATAATCTTAAATGTATAATCTTTATGTTTTTATATAATTATATCTGTTCTTTTTGTAGCCTTCAATAAAAGGCTGTAATTTTCAACAAAGAAATAAATACATTAGTAAAGTACTATAAATATTAGCAATTTATAGTTAGTACAATATTTCAAATTTCCTTGTCCAAATGAGATTTATTAAGAAAAATTTAAATGAACAAGATTGCCCCATCATGTACAGTTTAGTTACATCAAAGAATGCTCTATTACATAGAAAAATTTAATTAAAACGAGACCTATAATTTAGAACTGCAATTTGCAGATAAATATTCATTGAAAATTTAAAACAATAACCTTTACAGTAACTGTAACATTGAAAATAATGACTATATTTCTAATGGCTTATTGCTTTTGAAAAAAAAATTATATACTCATTATTTATACCTAGATCATAATATACTTATTATGGAAAAATATTTGAAGATGTAAAAAAATATTTTCAGTTCAAAGGTCTCTACTCTTCAGTAGTTTACAAATACAATCTACAGTCTTATCTTGCAGTTTCTATACTTAACAAATATAATCTACAGTATTTTAGAAGATATGACAGAAGAAGATTTAAAATGGACTTTTTTTATATTTTAAAAAGCCTTTTTTAAATGTAATAGAACTCGACACATTCTCCCAAATTAGAAAAAAGAACCTCGGGATCATTATAACTTCCGGAGGTGAGATAGGAGGACCGAGTTTGGTTTTATTGCATAAAATTCTTAAATATATTTCGTTCTTTTAGATTCCTGATCACATCTGTAATTTAAAATAATTTCAAGCTCAATAAAATTCAGAGGATTAATTAAATAAACTTCTTTATATTGATTTCAAAAAAAGCATTTTTGTCTTTAAATATTTTTCCATTTAATTATTTTTAGTATGAAATATAACTTATTTTTTATTACAGACATATATGAGTGCAAAAGTACTGATTGTGTAGGGAAAAATCAAATGTGTGTTCCGAAAGGCAATGATTACTATTGTGAATGCTACAAAGATTTTAAACTGGTAGATGAGTACAAAAAAGGAACAAAAGACATACAATGCGAGGGTAAGTATGAGACTAAAAGATGTGAGAAAATATTATGATCTTAAGTTAACTCCACACTCTTGACAATTACGTATAATATAATCTGCACTCTTTTAGAAGATATAACAGAAGAAGATTTAAAATGGACTTGTTTTATATTTTAAAAAACCGTTTTAAATGCAATAGAACTCGATCGATTCTCCTAAATTAGGAAAAAGAACCTGAGGATCATTATGACTTCTGAAGGTGAGATAGGAGGACATAGTTTGGTTTCATTGGATAAATTCTTAAATATACTTCGTACTTGTTCTTTTAGATTCTTGATCACACCTGTAATAATTTTAAGCCTAATGAAATTCAGAGAATTAGTTAAATAAACTGCTTATTTTAAAAAATGCATTTGTTAAAAAATACATTTTGCAATGCATAAATGAAGACAAAAAAGGAACAAAAGACATACAATGCACGGGTAAGTATGAGGCCAAGAGATGCCACAAACTAGATCTAAATGAGAGAAAAATATTAATTTTCAATGCTTTTTAACTGTTCGACCAATACCGAAATTTAAAAGAAAAAAAATACTCGATTTTTTTTCTCGAGATAATACATATAAAAAGTTTTAAAAATAAAACTTTCAGAAATTCACACTGCTTTAATAATCCATAATGAATCAAGCAAAACTCAAAAAACTATGCTGCTAATATAGTAATCAGCATTTTAAGATAATTTCAAATGCTTAAAATTAAAAAGCGTAGTTCAAATAAAGCATCGAGATAGCTTGCAAAATTTTATTAAACTAGTAAAAGGCAAACTTCACCGCCGGTATTGATATAACAATATATATCGCAGTATTACCGTTTATGTTTAAAATTTCTACAGCTATCTTAGAAAGAGTCAAAAATAAATTTTAGAAAATCACTTCATAACTAAGTTATTATTTCTTAAAAAAATTCAGGAGGAATAAAAATAAATACTTAACGCATAACTTTTTTTTGAAGCTACCTAAATTTTGTTAAATTAACCTAACAAAATAAATAATAATAACTATAGTGTTGCCAATAGATAGAGAAACACTTGAGTTCATGGTGCCATATAAAGAAATATCTATAGATAAGTGGAAGTTAAATAAATGAAATAAGCTTATTCTTTTTTGTATCCCTTGTCAGTAGTTTATTTTTATCAAGAACATTTTGCCCCAATCACTGTGGTTAAGAAAATAATTACTATAAAAGTTCATAATATCATCTCCACGCATATTTGAGATTTTTCAAGTCACGGTACATACTAAATTTTTACTAACTAAACGAAAAATTAATACTCTGATGTCAAAAATTTCCCCGAAAAATAAAAGGTTAAACTTATTTGCAAAGCTAAAATTATTATATTTTTTTCTTTTTAAATGAATGAAGTTAGAATTTCTCACTTTCAAATTTCTCTTCTTTCTTTAAAAACTCATCTTATTTAAGAAGAAAAACTCATAAGAGCTTTGTCTCGCTTTGTAATTTTGATCTTTTTAATCTAGGTCAAAATAGTAACGTGCTTCTCGATACTGTCGTATAAATTTTGAAAATTAATTTCAAGGTATACGGAAGGAAATTGCTTTTTTAGCGGATATAATCGTGTGGGCTGATGAAAAGATTATATCTTTTTTTTCCAGTTTTTCTTAAATAAAACGATTCCTTTTTTAAATTTTTTTATATATAAGTTGTTTGTTATTTTTTTAATTATTATTTACCTCCCCCTTTTTCATATGTCTGTAAGTTTGGTTTGTTTTATCTTCATTTATCTTCATTTGCTTTGTTTTATCTTCATTCATCTTCA